CTTTTCTATAAATATTTTCAAGGCAATTTTTTTTTATGATGTTTTCTCTTTGGTATCTAGACTTTATGAATTTAAGCGTACTACTAAACTGGCTGTAAGGTCTCACTATTTTACACCTTGCTTTCCGGTCAACTTGATCCTCAAAAATTTAAATGCAATATCAATTGTTATTTTCTGTCTTCTTAATTCCTGTTCTTTTATGGTTCTTATGTCTTCTTAATTCCTGTTCTGTTATTATTGTTCTGATTTCTTAATTCCTGTTCTTTTATTATTGTTCTGATCTCTTAATTCCTGTATTTTTCTCTTTCATTAATAGTAATTTTCTTCTTCTATTCCCTCACACTCAGTAATCGTTTACGTCTTAGTGGATACCGTATATACTCGAGTATCAGTCGATTTTTGAAGACCTAATTTTGAAGCAAAGTTTAAGGGGTCGCATCATACACGAGATGTAAAATTAGCGTATCTCCTGCTGGCACTGGCTACGCTTTTGACCAAACTATATATCCATTTACTATAATAAAAAAGTACAGCTGTATTTAAAATAAACACCGCACGGTATATTGCCATGCTTGGAGTGAAATGATTAAAAAAAATACTATAATCCAAAGGCTAGAAATTTAGATTTCGAACTATACGTCCTGAGTTCGAATTTCTATTTGTCTTTCTGGAAAGTATCAACCTGGGAAATGCCTGGAAACAATATCATAACTTGATGCAGCTTTGTGAGTTAAATTAGGCAGGTATAACCTCTCCTGGTCTAAGTTACAAGTCACTGTAATCGAGGGTTTACGCATACTATACTTATCCAACTAATGGTCGCACAATATTTCACCCCAAGCGAGACGATCATGTCGCCGGGATGCAGGGGGTTTATGGGGAGTAAAAAAAAAAAAAAACACTGAGAAGACTTTAGGGGGGGGGATTGAAGAAAGGACAATAAAGGAAGAGGCTCCAGGAAGATAGAAAATAACGCTTAACATTGCATTTAAATGTTTGAAGATTGTAGTTGCCGGAGAAGCAAGAAATCAGAAGGGTGTTCCATAGGTGAGAAGTGCGAGAAAAATACAATTAGAATAGAACATAGTTGCGTTTAGCTAGTTCAACAGATGCGGCCTTGTAGCTTATTTAGTAAATCGCGTAACTTCATGCTGTTGATGCAATAAAGAAAAAAAAAACTCATCAGGACAATTGCCATGAAAATATTTGTAAAAAAAAGATAGAAGGGGGCATAGGTTACGTATTTCAGAAAGTAACTGAAATGGAGATGCCTGGTCAGATCATAGTTTGGCTCTGTGGGTTTTGACACCCCCCCACCAAAAAAAAAACAACAACAAAAAACAAATAAAATGTGTCTGAGCAGTTGTCTACAACAGGGATTATCTCGCATATCTGGAAGCAAGTAACTTCTCAATACTATTATCCTTAATAGATATGTATACAATATATGCATTACAGGTTTTACATGCACAGTAATATACAGTCTGTTGTCGTGATGAAAGATATAATTTACGGCCATACTGAAACATCAGCTGCGTACGACCGCCGAAGTTAAGCATCGTCAAGCCTGGTCAGTATCTATACCATTTCAATTTGGGACTAATCAAAGTCACTTTGGGACTAAGCAAATTGAAAGTGAAATAGCCAAGTTCAGAATGGCAGGTAGCACATTCAAAAGGAAATAGCCACGTTCAGAATGGTATGTCGCAAATTCAAAATGAAATAGCCAAGTTTAGAATGGGACGTAGCAAATCCAAAATGAAATAGCCACGTTAAAATGAGACGTAGCAAATTCAAAATGAAATAGCCACGTTAAGAATGGGACGTAGCACATTCAAAATGAAATAGCCATGTTCAGAATGGGACGTAGCAAATTCAAAATGAAATAGCCACGCTCAGAATGGGACGTAGCAAATTCCAAACGAAATAGCCTAGTTCAGAATGGGATGTAACAAATTCAAAATAAAATAGCCACGTTTAGAATGGGAGGTAGCACATTCAAAAAATCACTGGGCGGTAAATCAGATAATTAAAAACCGGAGCGCAGTTCTGAGTAGATTTTACTATCAATTCCTTACAAGAGGCTATTTTTGAGTTTTTGGCACTTTCATTGGTAAGACAATCAGGGAGAACTGAAGAAGGAAGAAAGACATGGATATACTGCATGTAGTGTTAAAAAAGAGTGAATAAGAGAGAGTTATTCAAAATGAAATGTTTTCGGGGACAACAGGCAAATCTCGAAAGTCCTAAGAAAAAGCCGCAAGTAAATACTGAATGCATAAGATAGGTATAGTGAGAGATTTCAAGCGCTAAAAGTTGCATCCAAAAAACATACACTTTTCATGATTTTTTTTTGATTTATTGATTGCCCTCGAAGATAAAACATTTCAATAGTAAAGTTTACTTGAACATTATTATTTTATCATGAAAATATTTAATTTTAAATCTTTTTAGCAAAATGTTTACTCAGTCCCAAATTCAATTTGCCGAACCCATTTTGAACTTGCTAAGTCCCAAATCAAATTTGCTTATTCCATTTTGAATTTGACTATTTCATTTTGAATCTGCTATGTCCCAATTTAAATTTGACTATTCGATTTTGAATTTGACTATTCCGCTTTGAACTTGTCTATTTCATTTTGAACTTGTTTAGTCTCAAAATGACTTTGATTAGTCCGGAATTGAATTTGAAATGGTATAGATGGTAGAATGTTTGGGAATACCAGTTGATGTAAGCTGGATGTGCGGGTGGTGTAATGGATAATGGCTTAGAATTGCAGAGCCGAGTACCAATTCTTATTGGATCCGTTATATTCAGTTACGCGCAAATACCCTTTGGAAAGATAGGACTCACCCGCTTCTCCTACATCTATGGGTTAATTAATACTACATCCTTATTATCTCTTAAAAAAAATTGCAAGAACGCAAAAAATATTTTCTAGTCTTTAATAACCTGCAAAAGATTGATAAGTCGTAAAAACCGAATGAATCAATCAATGTCTCGAAAAAGGGTAAGTGTTTCCAGATGTAAAAAAAAGAGAAATTGGATTTTAATCTTTCATATTACAGTGATTTTTCAAGCGTAGCTCAGATGTGTCACAAGGCCGAAAGTATGGGGCAACCAGTGAGGATCGAACTCACTACTCAGTTGTAATTGTACTAGCAAGACACACTTGCTAACTATTATATATATATATATATATATATATATATATATATATATATATATATATATATATATATATATATATATATATATATATATATATATATATATATATATATATATATATACACTTGATAAGGAGGGTGTTGAAACAAAATGGCTATTTTTTGTAGAGATTTTACAATTTATAACATGAATATGTTTTAATTTTTTTTGTTTTTATAAAAAAATAATTATATATATATATATAATTCTCTTGGGGTTTGGATATGAGTAAATGCTTACGATTAATAATATATATGATATTATAATATATATTATAATAAAATAAATTAATATTATATATTATAATATAATATATATTATAATATTATATATTAATATTATATATTATAATATTATATATCAATATTATATAACTATAATATCATATTAATATTATATATTGTAATATATATTATAATATTATATATTAATATTTTATATTTTAATATTAGATACTAATATTATATATTATAATATATATTATATCATATATTAATATTATATATTGTAATATAAATATATATTATGTATTAATATATATTATAACATATATTATAATATCATATGTTAATATTATATATTATAATATATATTGTAATATTATATATTAATATTATATATTATAATATAGTATATATTTAATATTAGATATTAATATTGTATATTTATACAATATAATATCATATATTAATATTATATATCATAATATATTATGTATTATCATATTATATATTAATATGATATATAATTTTCTTATGTAGTTTGATGCGTGTAAATATTTACGATTAATATTTTGTGAAGTAGGATATTGGCTAGCTTATGTAAAAAGATCTTCAAATAAGATTTTTGTATGTTCCATCAGTACTAAATAATAATATAAACAATAAAAAAATAACCTTGTGTGTTTTCCGAATTGAAATCTCCATCTTAATTATCGCCCAAGATCAGATACTGCCGAATACATATCTTGAAATATTTTATTAATAATATATCATTTGCTTTTCAATTTTTATCGCGTGACATTATCGGCAAAGTAACTACAGTTAATCATTAAATGTATACATAGTTGTATTTCATACGCAAAAATGCACAAGATTACCACAGGAAAATTGCATTTCTCTAACAACCTGGTGTTCAACTTAATTAATCTCACGTGGAAATCTGTAAAAGAAATGTTAAACACTTTTGATACTCTTAAGAGATTTTTTTAAAAAAATCCCATCTTGAAAATTTTGGAACTAATCTCTCAAACATTAACTTAAAATATATATTTATTTTTTACTGATGAAATACAGTTTTTCACCAGATATTAAATTGATAGATTTTGTTGGTGCTTAATTTCTAATAGAAATGAAGTTATCGAGAAAAAGTGAAATTGTTTACGGAGGATGAGAGTAAAATGAAGGAATAGTAAACATAAGTAGATAGATATAAGTTTGTGTCGTAAGAAGTAGGAAAAAAGTTACGATGCCGATGAACAATTGAGAGAATAAGAGCGTGAACAGAAGAATTGGCCATTATCGGAAATAAATAGATGTATAGATAGAACAGGCAGACCAACAGACGGACAGATATATATATATATATATATATATATATATATATGTAGAGAGAGAGAGAGAGAGAGAGAGAGAGAGAGAGATAGAAAAACGAACAGATACATGAAAAGACGCAGATAAGATAGATAGGCGGGCAGCTAGATAGATAGGTAGATACAGCAACAAACAGACAGATATATAGAAAAACTGACTTAGATAAATATGTAGATAGATAGAAAAAAGAAACTGAC